ACTCTATAAATATATATATATATATATATATATATATATATATATATATATAAAGTGTGACTTGATTTTCGTAGAACAGTGCTCAATACATAGAAGTAGAGCGAAGTATATATTGTGGGAGGAAAAAGACAAGTAAACTACAAGTTCATCCCTACAAGCCTGTTTCGTGGTCGCCCACTCATCAGGGGATTTAATGAGATGGAGTTTTTAGCGTGGATTATAATGTTTCTTTCGTCGGTGGTAATGATGTCATAGTTGGAGGCGAAGTCGAGTGCTTTGTTCAGGATGTATATATATATGTATATATATACATACACACGCACACAAGCACACACACACACACACACACACACACACACACACACATATATATAATGTATATACATGAGTTAAAGAATTAAAGAGGACCCATCGATTCTCTGTGACTCTGAGTTTCGCGCCAAAGCGCTCGTCAGACAGAACTTTTGTTCCGTTTGACGAGCGCTTAGGCGCGAAGCTCAGAGTCACCGAGAATCGATGCGTCCTCTTTAATTCTTTAACTCATGTTTAGTTAGCTTTGCTACCAAAGCCTTGATAGACTCTACCCTCACATTTATATATATGTACATATGCAGTTAGATATAGCTCTTTGGCAGTACAGAGCTTTGCTTTTATGTCCAAATTGAGCACTCTACTAGGATGAGTCATGTGCAATTGTGCGAAGCTCACTAGTTGCTAGTTTGAGCACTCTGGCATGGCTTAAATGGTACCACAAATGTGGAATCATTTGTGGTGGCTTTATAGCTTCATCCCCATCCTAGAATCAGCACTGCACTAATGAGGCCCAGAAGGCCGAAACAGTACTGTCTGCTTATATAGAAACGTTTAAGTTTATCAACTATACATACCTTTTCTTTTCTCATCAAAAAGAGATTTAACTTAAAGAATATCTCTTCCACTCACCGTCGACATTTACAGAAGTCTTGAGTTTGTCTTGGTAGGATCTAGTTCCAGAAAAAACATCTTGCACGGTCTTACTAGCAAAGGAGTCACGATCGGCGAAAACAATCTGATCCGGCACCTTGTACTTCTTATTAACGGAGAGCTTTCCGTCATTCCACGTCAGTTTCAGTATTTTTCTAGTAGTTTTCAGCTCTGGGTCAATTCCACCTTTTGATGGATCACCGTCTGGATTTCCCCTCAAGATATCATACCCAACACCAATAAAACGTAGGCCTTTAGCCATTTTAGGATTACCGTTGCTGGGGGTAAAAGCGATGCCATGAGCGACAATAAGGACGAGAAGATGCATGGTCAATCTTTACCTTTCGATGTAGCAAGTGGGTAGTGAGACAAAATATTGTTTCTAGAAGTAGGGGTCCACGGCTCCCTAAGAACACTTGCAGAATTTCGTGTTTAAAGGAACAAAGAAATATTGTCACATCCGGTGAACCAAAACGGCGTGTAACGCCCTGCGGCAAATTAGTTGAATCATATTTTCAGTTTTTTTGAATTATGATTATACGTTATTTCAGATCAGAAATAATTTTTTTGGTACTTCTTTATCACCGGACGGAAGTTTAGTTTCATAGCGGCTTTTTGCAGCCCTTTGTGAAGTCTACTAGTGCATTATTTGATACCGATCACGCTCAACAATCCTCACTCAAAAGTTTAGTATGTTGATTTGTGTAATTGTAGGGTGGTCATTGGCCATGGTTCACATAGATCTGTATTCGGTTTCTATAACAAAACTTACACAATATTTACTGTGATTCCTTGTTATCAACAGGACGAAAGCTTGAAGAAAGTCAAGTAAGTAAAACAACGAACTTAGCAAAATACAACTCATCGTGTCCATCGTAGTTGAATGATAATGGCATTGCATAAAAGCGATTGAAAGAGCAGTTCACGCCAATCAAGTCAGGCCGAAGGGTACGTCAGAGAAAAGTAGGATGGTGGTTTCAGTATGTATTGCTTTACTGCGATGACTGAACAGAGAACAACTCGTAAAGCCCACGTCGATGTGTACAATGTCGCCGGTTTTAACGCGACTTTTTGTGCGAGGGTAAGTAAGGTAGTGTCGGGGAAGCAAAAACACTCTTGGATAAACGCATGTTGCCTTAGACTATAATTTTTTGGAAATTTCAATTGTGGAAGTGGTTTCTCAATAACTAGTATAGATCTAAAAATTGCTAGAGAGATCCACTTATAGTGACACTTACGCCATGTTTTTTCGGGTTCAACCGAACTTGAGAGTCAAAGATTTTAGAAACCCTCTTTCAATTTATTTTGAGAGGCTTTGTAACAGAAATCATTTCACTCTTCGATCAATAATCGCTTGTAACAGGCTCGTTTTTAGTCGGTTTTGTACCATTCTAAAGCTTAAAAGATCTTTGTTGTCCTACTTGGTTGGTTCTCTGAAGTTTCGTGTTAAATCGATTAGGAGCAGTTATTGCATCAGAAAATGAAAATAAGCAATGTTGAAAAAGGTGAGCATAAATATACACAATTGAGAACGCTGAACATGTTCCATCGCAGCCTGCTTTGATTACGGACTATCCGGTATTTTAGCGAACAGGATTGATTTCAAATTTTTAATCATAACAAAAGATGGTTTGAATTGATCAATTTTCTTGTCTATTTAATTCGCAATATTTCACGTTCATTCTCTTCTGATTGCTGAGTTCTGTACAAAGCAGTGAATCCATCCATGTTTGAATCAAATTAATTCTTGATGAAAGAAAATTGTGAAACTGCTGAAATTGGCAATCACAAGACATCAAAAAGACCCTGATCAAATTATAGATAGGACAAAATTTAAAACTAACATGATGAAATCTTAGCCATTAAAAGTGCCAAAAAAATTTGTGATATATTATATTTCACAGACATAACAAAATTTAAGCCAAAGAAATCACGCTTGAAAGATCTTGTCATATGGTAATAAATCGCAGACAAAACAAATCTAAGCGAGTGAACGCATAACAATTGTTAGGGTTAAATTTTGTAAGCTTGAACAGTCCGGTTGCATTCAAAGGGCCAGGGGGTGAGAAATGGCTTTAATTTCTACTTTCTCTAGTCCCTTTTGAACAATTATTGTCGAATGGCAAGACAATAAGCCAATTGTCAAGACAATGAGAAATGTCAAGAAAATTGTTATCGAACGATTTTCAACATATGACTGTCATAATGGAGGAAAAAACGCACTTAAAGACCACATTTCGAACCACTTATTTCTTTACCTTATTGAGTCTTTTTTCGCCTTTGTAAACTTTTTGATCATCGCTTCATGTTTTCCCTTCAAACAAGTTGAGTCTAAAGTTTTGCTGTCACGCTTTCTTCAGACGTTTTGTTTGGTATCAGAGTCACGCTTCTACTCATGGATGACGTTATCTACGAATTATGAAACTAAGAACTATGAATCCCCATAAAGGTTTTTCAATGACAATTACAATTAAGACAATAACATCATGAATTAATTAACTTAAAACAAATTAACAATTGAAATATTAAAAAAAATGTGGTGGTTAGGTTAACTCAACACCAATCAATAGGCCTTTCTCGATTATGCTAGCATTTTTTTCGGCATTTTTGGGAAAACGAGCATTTCTTTTCGTTTTTTCTTGAAAAAGAATTGCTAGCATTTTCTGTCATTTATCATGACTGTGATCCAGATTTCAGCACTCAGAAGGATAAATAATCCTAGAGTTTCACAATTTTGATTCTTTTCTGTCTGTTTCGACTGTTTGTGCGTTGTGTTACTTGTCTACTTGTGATGCGTTACTTGTGTGTGTAGATTGTCTGTTTCCGTTACATGACCCACTAACACCAAGGGATAAAAAGGTATGGGTGGTCAGAGGGTAACTCAAGTTTCTCTTGCTCAGCCAAGATGGCGTCGGCCACGAACTTGCAAGATAGACCAGTTGCATCATCTATAGCAAGAGATCGATCACTACAGCCGCAGGAAGGGTTTTTTCAATCCTGAAAGCCTCTTTCAGTGAGCAGCAAGATTGTGCTCTCGTCGATTACATTCAAGCCAGTGTGATGGCACAATACAACAAGCGATAAGCGCTCACAACGGCTTACAGTTGTAACTCATATAAAACGTAAACGTTTCATATGAGTTAGATGTTGAACAGAATTGTGCTAGTCTAGGTTGTGTGTACCCAGCGCATGGTAGCGCTTCAAATATCACTGTTTAGTGGCTGTTGGCTGGAAAAGTTTTAATTCTGACTCCAAGTTTTATAAACAAACAGTTATTAAGTATCAGCTGTTGTTGATATGAGCATATAATATAAGAAATTGTACGTTTTGTTTGAAATAAAACAAAGCAATTTTTTTAATTCAAGTGGCATTTTTTAAAGAAATCAGGCATTATTTTAGCATTTTTTTGGCTTTATGCGAGAATTTCTAGTAGATTAGTTTTACTTGCATAATCGAGAAAGGCCTACCAACCAATCAATGGAACGGAAACGGAAACATAAATAGAGCGCTGAAAATTCGAAGAGGCAGCTACGACAATTTTGCCTGTGGTTAGGTTATGGATAGGATAAAATTTTATGAGTTCAAGAAGACCGAGAAGCGCAAAACAAACAAAAACAAACAAAGTCCTAAAGAATTATGATATAAAAAATTTACCTGAACAAACGGGATCTTAATTATGACAACGTGTTTCTCTTTTGCTTACTTAATGGAGCGTTGCTATGGGAACAGTGTAGAGGGTGCACAACTTAGAGTGTCCGCTTCCTCATATTGGGTCTTTTCGATTCCTCCTTCCATTCTAGGGGTTACAGTTGGATAGGTTCTAGTAAGAGGCATGGGCCTATGGCCTCTAGGAGGAGTCTTTGGGGGCTTGCACCTCCCTCTTCCCGGCCCTTTTTGTTAAGAAAGTGATAATTTGAATCGTTGATACATCTTGACATGCCCGATAAGTTTAGGAAGACCACATTGCAGGACACCCCTCCCAACCCTTCTCCTCTTCCCTGGGGAATCCTGCCTGGGCCCTTGTTATGGAGAATCTATCATCGTCGGTAACTATACTAATATGATACTAATATGATGTTTATTCAAACCTTTTGCAGAGAACTGAATTACAGGTTTTCTTACAATGAGATGTTGTTAAGGTGGAGAACAGACGTCGGCATTTTCTCAGGCGCCTCTGGCAGCCGCTTCAGTCCATATCGATCTCACCTTCCCACCCATCCCACTCCAGGGGAGGACATCCATCACACAGTAATCTCGTGTGTGGGAAATTAACGTCTCCTACCCCAACCCTGTAGGAGACGGGACCTCCATTCATTCGTCCGTATCCGAGAAGACTAGAATATCTAACCATTTCTTGATGTTATAAAAAGGTAGCAAATTCTTCTCAATTATTTTAAGACCTTGAGTGTTGGTCCGGCCGGGGCTCGAACACACCACCTCCCGCACCGCAACAGTCCAGCGGTCTATCCATTGGGCTAACTGGGCAGCGGTTATCACTTGAATGTGACAATATTCCGGCGTTACTCTTTCATAAAAGCTGGTGAAGACTGCTTTTCCTCTTTCATATCTCTTCTTTTCAAACAAAAGACATTTGTGGTTCAGGAACAAGCTAGGAATGTCACACTCGAGAAAGAGCGTGAAGGTGGTGCTTGCTTTAGGTGGAACTTTGAGCAATTCCAAAGAAAAGGTATATTGTTTTGATCGTTGAAAGACTTAAAATGCTCCATATACACTTGTGAATGTTTCTACAAAACGAAATTGAGTGTTTCTCTTTGCAACAAGATGTCGATACAATTTTTTCACATAACATACCACTAAATGATGGCGAAGGGTGAGTTAATTTACGCAACAAAATTTGCACGTATCAGACAATTTTTTCTGCCTTCATACCCCTTGTTTAGCGCGGAAACTGTTTTGTATTTAAGGCAAACTACCCTGTCTTCATTCTTTGTAAAAGGAACAAGTTTCGCTTTGCATAGAAACAAAGCTCTGTCAATGCCATGTGAGTTTGCTTTGGGAAATCAACAAAAGGGGAGATGCAAAATATTTTACTTTAACCAGAAAGAAAGGGACCCAACTGTTTTATCATGAATGACTGCATTTGACCAAAGCTTAGCCTTTGCATTTTGTCCCTTTTTTAATCATGTTAAGTTTTCTTCATGCAGTTCGTGCAGTTTTGTCAAAACATAACTATTTTTAGATTATATTTTTAATGAGACTTTAGTAAACAAGGTGGAAGAAAAAGCATGATACAGTGTTGAAGTCTAATCGTAAAACTGAAAAAAATTCAGAGATGATTACAAGCTATCATTTTAGCATTATATAACAGTTTTAGTTTTTGGCATGTTTGGCAGAGTAAAGGTTATTTTTTCACTGTCAAGTATCGCGTGATCAATTGAGGTTTTGCAAATAACGATTTGTATTTTTTGATCCAGGTTTTATAAGCTTCTTCTACTGCGCTCTCTACGCAATGAAAAATTAATGCCTTTTGGGTCTTTATGTTTTGATAGTTCTCAAGGAGAAGAACTTTTTTTTAAGGTACCAGCTTATCCTATTCTTAGTCATTATATTCTCTTAGGACACACGTAATAACAGAGATTTCACTGTTATCATGTAAGGATTTTAACGATGAAAACGTTCCTACTTTTTTAACATTTCAGAATAAAGTTTTGATTTAGTATCACCAAGCATCTATTTTAATGCGTTAAAACTAAGAAATCCATTTGTCAATCTGTTATTGTCTTGATTTCCATGATTCACAATTCCGAGTTCGAATCTTCCTTGATTTTTTCTACTTGTGGAATTCATTTTTCTTCGCGTGTAATCTCTTCGATTCATCTCACTTAAGTCACTCAAGATTATGCTTTCGTCATGAAAAAAGGTCGGTGTTTTTCCTCCTTTATTTTGTGTTGGAGACAATGTATAAACTTTTCTACGCATTCCTCCCTTCTTTTGAAAAAGATTACCGCGAAAAGCATCATTTTCCTGAAGATCCTTTGTCGGTGACCTAATTTTTTTTACAAGATCCTTAATTCCTCGCCGCACTGTTGAATTGTAAACAGCAAACAATATGGGGCTAATAGCACAATTACTATGCGCCAAGAAAATGCGCCAAAATCTGAAGCTGCATGGAACTTTGCTGTAGGTAATTTGGGCTGTGAAGTATGTTATCCAGCAAACTAAGAACACAAGTGTAATTAAAATCATCATTTTTGCTATGTTACGTATTGCTCTGATTCGTAATCTGTCCAAGCGAACCGCTGTTGTTCTCTCCTGGCGGGGAGTTTTACCTGTTTTAAGTTTGAAAGCAACGGCTAGATACAAGACGAATATCCCCAGCCATGGGGTAGCATAAAACGCTATGAAAAGGAACGTGTAGTATATATCTCGGGCGTCCTCGTTATTAAACGCTTTTGTAAGACTGGAACTGCAAGTTTGTCTTCCCTTAGAAGTCTTGGTGCGCAAGGCTATGAAGTAGGGCACTCGGGCGATAACTGCCAAAACCCATATAAGAAAAATCGCAAATTTTGCTACTTTGGTAGTGAAGGGATTTCTCAAAGGAAACGCTACGGCGCAGAAAGTGTCGAGACTTGAGGTCAACAGAGTCAAAACTGAGGCGATAATTGCTACCGTGTGAAGAAATGGAGCAGTTTTGCACAGAACGTAACCAAAATCTCCCTCAACGAGCCAAACAGAACCAATTAAATACATCGGGATCAATCTCGGCATATATACGATGGTAATGACAAGATTTGCAATTGCCATATTCACAACAGATAAGTTGATGGTCTTTCGCCTCCTTCCATATCTGGAAACCACAGAAACAATGAAGATGTTTCCAAACAACGATGCCAATATAATTACACTGTAGGCAATTACTCGTCCGAGTTTGACTGAGAACGCATCGTGGACGTAACATGGACTAGACGATGAGCTTGTAATGTTAATGCTGTTGTTCAAGGAATCGATAGTCGAAGAGAAGTTCATTATTTCAATCTGTAAAGCAAAATATTAACATTAGAAACTAAATGAAACTGCTAAAGCTACGTATTTGTTTTTATCTAATCCGTGAGGATTACCAAGTGAATAGTTAGGGTAAGCACGTGATGTTAAAATATCGAACACACGAATGCTGTAATTAACATGTAAAGCTAAATAAGTATTTTGTTTCGATAAGCAATAGAAAACAAACCGATCTGAAAATATCTTTCTAACCTTGCATCAATATAAGATTAGTACATAGCTGCGGAAAAATCTTCTGCTCTCTGTCTGTTAGATATTTACAGTCTGTCGAAAATTGTTTGTTTTTGGATACTGCAAGTATTGAGCAAAGATTTATTGATTATCTTTGACAGGGTCTATTATAATAATTTGTAGGCAAGTTTAATTATTTTATTTTTCATACTAGAGTTTTCTATACCTTGTGTAATTTTAACGTACTGTAGATAATGTACTGCATAATGTTTTGCGTAATGTACTGCGTAAATGTGTGTCAAAAACTGTCTCTGAAAAAAAAAAACGGAAAAGATAAAAAAACTTCAGTGCTGCTTGTACGTGATTAAAGTATAAAAAACACTTAAGTATATAAAAAATTCATGTTTTTGTCGCTTTGTTTAATTTTGGCCACCCGCTTAGAGCTATTAACAATTGTCCACTTACAACATTAGTAAACTGCTGAAAGTTAGTCGTTCACAGAGTTTATTACCAATGAAACATCTCAACAAAATTCAATATCATTTCAAGCAATTTCTTACTAGAAATTAAAAATTGTTTGCTCGGTGTAGTGTTCATTTTGGACACCCGTCTGAATCTATTAACATGGTTGGTAGTCTTCGTCATTTAGCCGGTAACCAAGAAGCGTTTCTAAAACTTAATCAATGCTTTTTCAAAAAATATCTGGTTAGAAATTAAAACAGATAGCTTTCAAACTAAATCATGACTCTCTATTTTCATTTACTGGTATGGAATTAGAAGCAAGAGGTCTAGAAATGTGTCCCAACCGGATATTCGCGTAAAAGTCATCATAAGGAGAAATATTTTTTAGCAATGTCTAATTGGCATCCCTTGGCTTAGAACAAAATGATATTGAGAAATTTCAGTAACTGTCGAGAAGCCTGCGATATTTTGTAATTTTGGATGTTTCATTTGCCCAGGAAATTATCGCTGTATAATTTTTTGTCAGCATTCTGAATCCCTGAAAGATTTAGAGGGATGAGATGATCTGACAACAGATTGCAAATAAGAAAAAATTTGAACTTCAGCAAATTTCATAAGAGTGCGCAAAAATTCCCAAAGCTACACCTTTCTTCTGTAAAACCTGCATGTATCAAGATAGATGGTGATTGCTTAAAAGGAAAACATTACCGCAAAAGATATGTGAAAAACTGAATGACTAGTTTTTAGAACTGAATGAAAAAGTTAATTATCATACCTCAAACACATTACATTTTTTTGCCAGTTCTCATTAGTTGGAAACTTGTAACCTGAAAATAGATGCTTTTAAAATAATACGACTAAGATGTAGAAGTTTGAGTCCTTTCCTTAATCGCTGATCGTGATCGGACGCCTTTGATTGTGACCCACTATTTTTAAACTTGAATAACAGGGGCAGAGCAATCGGTTCCTCGATATTCGTGAGGGAGTAGATAAGACTTTTAGGGATGACACTTCCGTTCCACCTGCTATTTCACTGTTATTTGCTTGCTGTCGATTTGCGCGGTTCTTAATTTATGAGGGCGATGACATCGCGAAATCAGCAGAAATAATAATATGCAAAGAAGTTCAACGTTTGCTTAAAGCAAATTAACTGACATCCATTCTGGGATGCAAATATATTAAATCTGAAATTTGAGGCAGTGATTACTATCATTCTAGGATATCGAGAATATTATTTATTACATTTAAAAATTTGAAAAGAATCCTGCTATTGTTCTTGCAAGCATTTCCATGCGCTGAAGAGATTATATTCAAAATGATATGTGGATCAGATTAAAAAGGGACAGACGTTTTGGTGAAAAGAAAAAAGCAGGAAGTTAGTTTTTCCTATGTAGAATTACTAATTATAAAACACAACTCTAAAACTACCAGGTTAATGATTCCAGCTCAAGTCTATTTGGCAGGTGTTTTCTTCAGATTAACTCAACTGACAACGCTTACGTGGCCCTGATCACGTTTTCATGCTAAATTCTTGAAAATTCTTCAACAAGTTTGAAATAGACTGCTCTAAGAAAACAAAACTGACCAACAGTATTTACAGTAAATGTGATAAAAATTGATTTTCCCTTTGCGATACGTTATATTCGAAATTCCTTTTCCACTTTCAAGAAATATTCTCAGTATTTCGTAATAATTGAGAAACATCTAAGTGCACTAATAAAGATATTTTGCAACCTATCCCTCATTTGATAAATCTATGAAACGTAGTAGGCGTAGATGTGAAAGTAATCAAGATCTTTTCGATTCCCACTCACAACCAGTCGAGATGCTTTTGTCTTGACATACGAAGAAAACCATGCTTTATATCTTTATATCCCCGTAGACTGAGCAGCTTTCGATAAACCAACCAGATTACTAGTCCCCCCTGGATTGAGATCGAAATTCGCACATGCGCAAATCTTGATACTGTTCCTTCCAGAATTCATATGAAGAATTTACTGAGCCCCACCGTTATCGGTAATGTGATTGGAGCGACCTCCCTCTTTCTATTCGCAATACATCATCATATCCTCTTCTAAAAGGTACTTTACAATATTACTTTGCTCAGCATTAGCCTGTCTTGATGCAATCCTTGTGTATGTGTGTGTGGTGTGTTGTTGTTGTTGTTGATTTGAAAATAGTAGAGCCTTTAAGTTTGTCGTTGTAAAATGGCCTTAATTAGTTTTTATTTCACCTTGGCCTCTTCCTTCAGTACTTCTTACTGTGCATCATTAATACGTAATTCCTTTTATAATACAATAACAACCTTGTAATACTTATGAATGGAGGAAATAAAATGAATAAAATAAAAATGAATAAATGTTACCCTAGCATTTCGTTACTGGTTTCTCTGACAGTCCACTGAAACATACTTGCACTCCTGCGTCGAGAGTGGTCACGTGATGGTTAAATATCTCGTCCCGACAGGGAGCGAATCAGCTGGAACCTGCGAAGTCACGATCTGGAATCGAGCGCGCTAAGCATTTGGCAAGTGCGTCTCAAATATTTAATTTAAAGACGATGTACTCAAAATACGGGAAATTAAATGCAGATAGATTCAAATTCTGTGCTTAAGGAAACTCAAATAGGTAGCCAACAATACAGGGGTAAAAGCTATTATGTATGAGTGACACAATGGCTTGTGTTAAGAATATCAATTAATTATAGACGATTAAAAAGCCTATGCATTAAAGCAATTGTTCGGTGCTCTTTTATGTAGACAGCCCTCGATTTTGCTGATTTTGCGATAAACGTTGTATATGGAAAATAATTAATAAAGTTGTTTGAGTTTTTTTTTAGCCGCAATAAACTCCCACTACTTATGCATTATTTACATCTTTATTATACTATCTATATAATGTGATAATTATTATGGCTATGAGGAATTCATATATCTGGCTGCTTGGATTTTAACATGCAATTGTAAAACACTCGTAAAAACACCACACTGGGGTTCTCGCAAATAAATTGATTCTGATGTTATCGCAAAACCCAGAATCAATTGTCGATAACAGCATGTGTTACTTTCCAAAGTAAGACACAAATTGCCATTTCGCAGGCATAAAAAAATAAGAAAAAATATATGTTGTCATTTTGAAAAACACATGTGTATGGAATACCTTCAGAATTCAGCCTTGGGGCTGCTACTTCTAAATATTATTGCGAAAATAAATATCTCCAAAATGTCTGCTTTAGGGTCTTAATTATTCCCTCTGAGTAAACGAGAGAAGCCGATCCTTGTTCGATCGGACAGTTTTACCAGATGTTTTCCGTATTCTTCCACGTCGGATGTAGAGAAATCGGCTTTACTGGTTCAAGTAAGAGCGTTTTGCAAACAAGTGAAAACGAGATGTCGACTGGATGAAGCATTCATAAAAAATGAAATATTTCACTTTAGTATGTTCATCCAAAAGCTCTGCATGAGACAAAGTGTTTCAGAGTGTTAGTGGTTGGCTTTCAAAATAACTGTTGCTTTAGAATCATGTCGTGTACTTGATCTGGTTGAAAACACCACACGTGTGAGCGCACTTAAAAAATTATTTGATAGAAAACCATAGCTCTAACGCTCTTAAAACTTCGACTTAGAATTAACCAGCTATTGTTCTTATGTACCTCATTTGATGGGGTTTTCCTTGTGAATATCAGTTTTCAGTTCGGAAATATCTTCTAACCAGCCATCTCAAAAGCTCCTTATGTATTGATCACCAAATACAAGCCTCAATATGGAGACGGATGTGTTTTTGTGTACGTTCTTGGGGCTAGGATAAATAAATACGTTTAAAGACTTTGGCCATTCAACCCCAGAGATTTTTCAGTTAATATAAAAGGATCTGAGAGAGATTTTTTGCGCGGCGTTTGACGCACGGTCAAGCAAAATGAATATGAAGTCAGAAGGCACGAGAAAAACATTTATATTTTTACCAAAAGTTATCCTACTGTGAATTTCGTTGACAACTGACCTTGTGATTTCTTTTTTTTTCACTCAATTTTTCCAGAATCTACCTTCCCCACTCAAGCACTACGGTAGTTTTTATATTTTTGGAAAAGTTGGCGTCGCACTTGAAAATGTCCCTCGACAATAGTTAACGATAGTTTCAACCGCATAGTAAGCATACTTTTGAAAATTGTTCCTAAGTGTGACCATGCCTAAAAAGATGACCGACTAGCTTAACTCAGTTTGGTTCAAAACGACCGGTAGACGAACTGATTAAGCTGACTTCATGCTGTTCATGGTCGTAGGGTGGTGTTTTGGCGATTGCTCACCCAGACATGTATGAACTCAGACAATGCATGATTATTTTTTTTGGTTATCACCGAAAAAAAAAAAATTCTCTGAAAACAATTGAGCAAAATGAAATTGGTACTACAGCTGAATTACAGAACGTTTTGGGCAAAAATGAAATGCATAAGAAAAACTGTCTACAAAGAAAAAAAAGGCGGGTTTATTTAGCAATTTTAATAGATATATAAAAAATTGCACGATGGCGCGAAAATATGCACGGTTATTTGTCTAAAGATATTATCTGTTCCAAGATACGAACAAAAAAGGAAAAACATTAAGGACAGAAAAGTGTCCAAAAACAACTTTCGAACCGCAATATCCGTTATGTTAGAAAGATAACAATTCTCTTTGAAAGCTAGACTAACTCAGACGAAGCCGCGCTTACAGAAATTATCAACAATAAAAATGTGTTTTCAATTTTTGGAGTCTTTTTGGGTTCGAATCGTTTTACATTCTCGGTTTGATTTCATAAGCAAGAAAATGAACTGCGCCCATGAGAAAAAAAGAAAAAAAAATGAAAACGTAATGTGAAAAAAGGGGCCTATGAGTCAAATGTCCTTATTGCAGTCATCTGCAAAGTGGCCATTTAAGAGCATCATGCTGAACATTCTGTGAACCTACCACGTAAATTAGTTTCGCAATGACGAACAAAGCAGGTGGGTGGAAGAGGGAGGAGCGACAGAAGGGGCAGGCATTACTCATTTACCCATTCATGCCAAAAGATCATGAAAACTGCAAAGTACTAAGAAGATTCAGAAAAAAATTGTTTACATCGGAGGTTAAGACTGGCTTATTTGAATCCGACCTGATCTCGTGCGATTTTCTTATTCATATGTACAATTTATTTTCCGGAAACTTCCGTCCTGGACTGTTTGATTAGAATGGCTATCACTTTCACAGGAGCATACAAAGTGCACACTCGAATGTTCTCTCTTTAAAAGCGGTCAAGGTTGCATCTCGTTAAATACGGCTTAATTCTACCACTAATATCTCTGTAGAGTAAAACATCGTTAGCCCCTTCCTCCTGCGCCAAAACACTGCTTTAGCGTCCTGTGTGTTAAACACTTATTTTCTGGTAGTACTCAGTTAGCAATGCCTTTCCGATGACAACAACAGCGAACTTTGAAAGATAAGGTATAAGAGCTCGTTGAAGGTTAAGTTAAATGGATATAATCGCCACACAATTCATGCTGTGGACTGAGCGGGCTGGCCACAGGCACCTTTAACATGTTCTAAGAGATTTCCATGCAGAGATATGACTGGAACTGAGCTATTTCTATCAGTCAGTAAATTGAAATCACATTCAGTTATCTGCTCAACAGGCCTAATAGCCCTGAATCTTTTACTAAAAAATCCTTTTCACTTTTTTTAGCGAAGCTGCGTATCTGCTTCCGCCAAAACACCTACGAAACAAAACTATTTGTTTCAACAAAACTTGGCTTTTAATGGCAACAGTTTCTTGTGTCACCTGGGTAAGTTAAATTTAAAAGGTACAGTCGACCACAGGCGTGCTCAAACGAGTCCAAGGATACAGCCGGCCGAACTATTACATTATTTCTGTTGCGTGT